ATTTTTGTGAGAGCAAGACCAAGAGCAAGACCTAACCGTAATTCCATGATCAAGACTCGGATATACAAAACCATCGTATTTGCTCATCACTACTCTCGATGCAGTCGTTAAATGCGAGCGGAAACGTCGAAACGGTTCCTCTTAACGTCTTCCGCCGCTCGTACTTGTGCATGTCGCCCTGGAAATTAGCACGAGTCCTTAACGACGTGCACTTTTTTCCCCATTCGCCAGTGTTTACGTCGTTTTAATATTCATGCCGTGCATAACTCACGGGGTTTTAAGAGCGTCGTAGGGCCCTCACCGTAGGGCGTTTTGTGATAGAGCATATACCACACGAATACACGTTAGATGTAGTGCTAATATCGCTTTTATGACTTTCTTTCTAACGAAACTTCACGGAAAGGGGGTCGTGCACCAAAGGGTTATTCCCGGTAGAAATCATGTTTTTGTCCTAAGAATCTAAAAGTCAACTAGAAATCATGCGAATCATCGTTATGCATCGTAACACGTTAAAATCGTCCAAAACGAAACAATGAAAAGCCTCGATAAAAATTACTTGCAATCAGGAAATTGATTAAGTGCGTCAGGAATTTTAATGGCATTAAAATTTCGGAACCGACCACGACAAATCGAGTTGATCGAAGAGATATGGGAAAAACTTTCTCGTGTAGATCAGTACCACCACTTTGTACCGAATTACATTGTCATTTGCGTGATATCACTAGATCCTTAGAGAAAGAATCTGGTTCCCCTTGACTTCCGGAACGTCTCCTCGGAAGTCTACCTCGCGTGTAACAAAGTAAAATTCTCATCCCCAACAGCGAATCGTAATCCGGTTGGCCACCTATCTGATGGGAGTTTGTGCAAATAGAGGAAAACGGAGAAATAAACGCTCGTTTATTTATTTCACTATCTCCGGTCCCGCACAATGGACAGAGATTACGGGTTAACCCCGTTACCCGGTTGCAATTCCTGGTCAAAATGACCTCGGCTTTATCCCGGAAAGGAGGCGTTTCGGAAATGAAATGGACCTGACAGAAATGTGGACGGTCCGAATTCGTTTTTTATAAGGACGATCCTCGTCCTTCCGGTCTCATGGGTGGTAGCCGTAGCCGGAACATCCCGCAGAGTAAAGACCCGGAAATTTAGTATCGCGGGGTGAAATTTCACGGCCGATAGCCCGACTGAAAGAGTGGGCGGATTATCGTGTAACTCCCAGCAATCCACATTATATTCCGGCGGAAAATCAGCTGAGATCGAGTAAACTCGAGCCGCGATAAGGCATAGAAAAATCGATTCGCTCCGAAATCAAAGTAAATTCCGAAACTCGCGTCTGGTTTTCGAGGACGCCCACACGAAAGCCAGGTCCAGCCATGAAAACGCGATTATCCTTTGGGGTAATCAACCCTTAGTTAGGGTCGCGTGCGGCCGAAAGTTGCGGTAGCTTTCTTGCGAGGGTTTTCCACCTCGTGCCCCACGAGCGGATCTCGCCCACGAAAGGACGGCCTTTAAGCGGCGATTGCGATAGAAAATTGTCCCTAGTTTCCTGGGAAATATATATATCGAGAGAGGCCGTCCACCGGCTTGCTCGTTTCCGTCGGTTTTTCTTTAAACGCTCGAAATTCTCGAGAGCTCGCTCGTTATCACGGCATTCACTCGCGCCCTATTCGCAGGGCTCCTCCGACACCTCTCCCTTTGACTGCGGATTTGCATTCGCCCGGCGAGAATGGCGCGAAGAGCATAAAATATAAATATATGCAGGCGCGCGCACACGTATAAGCGTATCCGCAAGGAACAACCCAGCGGCGGGGATGGCGGAGAAAAACCGGGAAACGGCACGAAGGCCGGAAAATGTATTTCATAATTTCGCGCCCCGGAAACACTTCCAGGAGATCCGACGCGTTAAAAGTTACTGCCGTCCCGGGTCAGGCATGCCGACGGCATAAACCGACGCCTCGAGGAATAAAACCGACGCTTTACCGGGCGCCCCGCACTCGGCCCCAACTTGAGGGGTGATAAGCGACCGCGGCCGGCTGCGAAATTATTTCGCACTTTGTCGAGCCGACCGACTTAACGCTGCTTACTTCCGGTTAACTGCGAGTTTCGGCCCCCGAGTTGTTCGAACCTCGCTAAAAGTCGTTACCCAAGCGGAGATTCCGCAAGCCGCGCAATCCGGCGTGAATAAATTTTCCAGAGGTTGGATCTATGCCGGGAGACTGGGCGGGCATCGTCGAATCAGTCTTCATTTTTTACGGCACCAAACAAAATCCGATAAGACTCGCGGGATAACGTAGAAAGATAGCCCAGTATCTGTATGTCTTTATTGGCAGATAATACGTCAGGACCGACAGAAGCTATCAAAAAACTGCCGTTTAATGACAGTCTCTCAACCGTTGCTAGAAGACCGACATACGACGTTCAGGAGAGAAACGTTTATACGAGGTGTTCATATATCCCGATATAACATTTTTGAAAGGCATTCCTGCAAAACCAAGTTGTATTCCTAGGAAAATTAACGCGTTCCTGGACCTCTTCAAGCTTCCACTTACCTTCTGCGTCCTTGACAGTTTGTTACAAAGAGACTTATCGAGAGCAAAGAAGTAAAATTTCCACTTTGTCGTAAATCAGTTTGGATTGAAATGATCTCATCGGCATGAGACCAAATCCCCAAGACTCGCCCTCCAGAAATCCTGATCCTTCCAGGGTGTCACCTGGAAAACGTTCGAAGGTACCAACCCCGTTGGCGATTTCTCACGGAAACGAATCCCCGGATATTTTGGCACACGATCGGACCTAACGACCATTTTCCTGGGACGTGGATCCAAGGAAAGATCGAAAGTACCATTGAAACGAGCGACCGTCACGCGAGCGATCGGGCGACCTTGGAAATTGGTTCCCCTGGTACCGAGGTCCCGTTTCCGGTCGGTACGGGGGTTGTCCCAATTACCCCGGAAGCCCTTAGGTCTCATCTCCATATCGGGAGCGGATCGCGTGCGGAGGCCGCGGGGATCGCGCGAGCCCACTTCCGGTTCCACTTCCGGTCGGCGTCCGGCTCCTCCTCGTCTGGGTCCGCCCTTAGCCGAGGAAGACGGACGGGATCGATTCCTCGGCCGGGAACGGCGCCGGGTCGCTCATTAACTTCCTCAAATACGCGGAGCCCCTCGACAAACCTCGCCCTTAATGCATCGTTGTTTAACGACGGGATTGTCCTGGCTCTAAGTCCCGGATTACCCGGGCCTCGGTTATTCCGAATCGAAAACAGACCGGGTCCTGGGGAGCAATCAGCGGGTTTAGTCCTCGGTTCTCTCGAGGAGGCGCGAGTTGGCTGGAACTTAGCCCCGGAACCACCCCGGAACCAGCCCGACCAATTCGCGAATCGATGGGTTCCCTGGGAACGGTATCGCGGCCCCGATCCATCATCAGCGTCAGCGAGTTGTCGCTCGAGAGAACATCGCAATTTCGACGGAGCTGATGGATGGAGCCGGCCAGGATTTTCAAGATCTCACCTAAGACGAAACTAATTTACCCCTCGGATCTTCATCGACCGAAATAAAAGCGTCAGTTGTGTGGACCTGGCCTGAAAGAGCGAAATAGGAGTTGGAGTGCGTTTTACAAGACTTGGACCTGATACTTTTGTTTCTCGTGATAAGCAAAATAGATATCGTCTTGGTCTCAGGACCTAGACTGGACCATGCGAGATCAAGACCGAGATCACTGCCTGGCTCTGTCTGTGAGGAACGAAATGGCTCCTGGGGATGCTGACGCTTCACGCCCTTTCGAGTACCCTCCGCCATCTTTCTCCCTGGACCACTTTGCATCTCCAAAGCTGGACAGGAAGCCGAAAGAGGAATTTAGCAACGATCTTCGAGAACATGGCTCGAGGCGCGGCCGGCTGCGGAATATTTAAGTTCCGCAGAGGGATCGACCTTTTGCGGTCCAGGAATCCCTGAGGGCGTTCTTCGTGCCCTCCCCCTCGAGCAAAGAAGCGAGAGGAAAGAAGCGCCCTTAGGATCGTGTTTTTCCAACACACCCCGGAAGCAACAGTCCAGCCAACTTATTCTTCCCCTGCTCATCTCGCCATGACGCGATCCCTCTTTTTCTCCTCTTAAAAAACAGAGGAGCAGAGGGAGCCTCGATAAAACTGCGGGTTTTTCCCCACGTTTGCGGTTAAGGGGTGGTTCTGGGGCTCGAAAATGGGACACCTGTGTTAACCAAATCGGGATTTATTCCAGGTACGATTTAGGGGCGTCTAACGTTTTCGTAATTACGGATAAGTGATATCGATGGCGGCACGCGCTTCATGGGGGGCGAGGACCCAGGCCCATGGGGCGACTCCGAATCCCACCCTCGAAGGTGTATCGACCCTAGGAGCTCCTGCGACAGCTTGGAAATAAACAGAACGAGAAAAGCGAGCTATGGCGACAAAGGCGAAAAGCTTCCTTCGTCTAAGGCTGGTTAAAATCGCGTTAGGGACGCTTCGTGCATCACCATGGATGGCCCCGGTCGGCCTGTTCGCTTTTCCCATGGCTTTTCCAAAAGCGACCGGATGACGCATTTCGGCAACTGACATGGCTCAAGATTCACCCTGGGGAAAAAATCGACCGTGGACCTACCCCCAAGGTGGTGTAATTACTCCCGTACCGAGGGGCACGCTTTAATGAGGATGAGAAAAGGATACGACTGTCCGTTTTTGCAGCTTACGAGGAAGCCCTCGAAAGCTCCAGTTTAGCTCAGCTTACCAGGCGAGCTTGCATGGTTTCCGAGAAATTATGCTTGGAAAATTTCAACCACGTTTTCACGGGGAAATCGAGAATTTTTCGCCAGACATCAAAGACAGCCCCTGTAGGAGATTTTTTGTATTCGCATTTTTTCTTGTCGTCATATGTATGTGCAAGAAGGTGAGGATTAAAGTTATCAATTAATTTGGGAATTTCTTCTTTCAGATCCAGAGTAAGATGGAACTCTGAAGGCGGGGGGAAAGTCCGAGCTCCGGCACCATCATGAGGACCCTTCTGATCCCCTTGGTTCTGGTCTTCGAGGTGCATCTCTACTTTATAGGTACGAACAATTAAAAAGTTTCCTACGTAAAGATCTCCCCGGGTCCGTTCCGGCCCGTAAAAGATCGAGATTAAATTCACGGTGGTATTTTTTAACGGCACCATTTAGTAGCATCCAACTTGCGTAAACCCGGCCGCCGGTCGATTAAAAACTGTCGTTCCCCGGCGAAGTCGGGTTCCAAGGAACTTCACTTATTGGATCGGAAGATTTTAACGCGCCATTATGAAATTTGAGCGCCGGTAGAAATAAACTAACGTTCCATCGTAACAATTATACTGCCGGCAGCCGTAAAGCCGAAGGGCTCTAACCTTCACCCCGACAAATCCCCTGACATTTAAACATCTCGCCAATAATGGCTACCGATATCAGGAGTCCCGATATATCGATAACCCGAATCGATAGGAATTCCCGTAAGAATTTCTCCTCGAGGAAACCTCCCTTTCCAAGTCCTACGGCGATTCCCGACGTCGGGTCTGATAGGGACGACCCCTTTTCCTCCTCTCTCCCTTGCTCCCTCTTTCCATCCTCCTTTTGCCGGCATTATTCCGACGATAAGCAATTCAGCGGTAATTCTCATCTCGGAACTCCCTGGGAACACCCTGGAGAATTCCATCGACCCCAGACCGTGTCATCGTGACAATAAGAAATTCAACGTCGATTCGTGGCGTTGAATGCCTCTGAATGTAGCAGCCGGGGGTGAATTTTATTCTCTCCCCCATTCCTTCACCATGGAACCCCCTCATCGGGGAAAATCGTCACGTCGTGGGAATCGATACGCGACCTACGACTTCATTATCGACACCGTCGACGGGATCCTCGAGTTCTAAAACGAGCCCCTTCTTCCGGGGTAGTTTTCAGGGGGTGACATCCAAGGAGTGCGACCGACGTTCCGTTTGCACCCCTTCGAGGGGTTTGCCACCTTCTGGATTCGCTCCTTTTTTATTGTTAGAGACTTCCCCACGAGAGATATCGTCAAGAAGACTTTTAAAAAAACTTTTCCAAAAAAATATCCAAAGGGGATGGACCAATATATCTACTATTTCCTCCTAACCGATTATCCATGTTTCGTGCTGATGCTCCGTCTCCCCCACTCTTCCCCCTTCAAAAAATGAAATTGGAAATTTCGTCTTACCCGCGTCCCATTGATTTCAATAATGAGTATCTCTTGCAAAAAAATAATCCAGGCGTAACAATCTTAATAATATGAGAAACTTTCAAGAAGTCAGATTTTCGGGGAAAATATGGGGTGGCTTTTCAAAGGCGTCGATTCTTCGCTTTCTGTCGGCCATTTTCTGCACTGTGCAGGAAATAGAAGTCTTCAGGGAAAATTCTACTTTGGTCTAGGCCCGTAGTAATTTCCGGGGTTCGCGTTTCGGCAAAAACCACGTAAGCTCGCGTCTCGTTAGCGTGGGGGCAACCCACCCCCCGCAGAGGGCCGCGAGACTCGAGCTTTTTCCCGCTTTTCCGCCGCTTTTCGATCCATCCCCTTGAACCCCCGACCCGCTCGATATACCGGGGATTTTACAGGAATTTTAACCCCTTCCCAGGTCTCCAGGCACTGCGTCGCGACGCCGGTTCCCCCGTAATAAATGTCACAAAACGATACGAATGTTCTCACGCTGCGGTCTCGGGGTAGGTGTATAATCCCCGCGCTAGGGGAAGTTATGAACTAATTATTCAGAAATTTCCCTCCGCCAGAATCACTTACTTGCGCCGCCGAGTGAATAGCAACTGTCCTAGTAATAATTACTCGCTAGAATTCTGCGATACGATGTGGTGACGCTTTGGTCGTCCCTAAAGCTGAATACACATCCGAACATGAACACGAAGCAAGGCGAGGTGTAACAGACGCGTCGTACATAATGTTAAATATGTACTCCGTAATGAACAAAATCGTCTGAGAGAATAAATGAACGTCTTAACAAAAGCCTCGAATCGTCTGCCGAACAATCCGCGTAAGGGTTGTATCTCATTGTACTACTTTACAGTCGACGTTTGAATGTTCACCTCGCCTTGTTTGTTCGTGTTCAGAGGAAGGGTGGCTTTATAAACGCCAAGGAGCGTCGCGAAAATCCTGGGGGCGTCGCCAAGAGGGGGTGAAACACCCCATAAACGATTGCGGGTAATAAAGCGGCGTTTCTAAATGTGGAGTTATTTTTTAGACCTTTTATATCCGCTCCCGAGCGGATCTTCCTCGTGGTGGGAGTTTCGAGGCGAACGGGGGATGGGAGAAGTCCGAGACTCCTGGAAAGACCAAGTCTGTCGAACGGAGCAACTCGTAAAAGCCGCATAATCCGTGACACAGATCAACAGTCCGTGGGAAAGCTACTTCCCTTAGAGGGGGTCGTAACGCGCGATTTGCACGGCCCGGAAAGGCCGCAACGACGTCTCGAGTTTCCTCGGAACGGAAGACACGGAAACGGGGAAGAAGTTCGAGAGCTCTCGTTTATTGTCCACTAAAATCATGGCGTCGCGACGTCGCCTTTCCGAAGGAACGAAGAGATTTCCCGGGCACCGGATCCTCTTCAAAGAACTATCCCGTGATAAAATATAATTACGTATCTTTTAGAATTGCCACATTCAATATCACCAAGACGAGCGCGATCAACCACTTGCAATTAAATTTCGCAATGCGTCGCGTTGAAATTAGATATTCCTATAAGGAAGCCTCTATCAACAAGGATTGCTTTTCAACCTCACCATTCGTATAGAAAATAATTACATATTTAAAAAAATTACCGCATTCAAGATCAACCTGATCACGATTAATTGTCTTGAAAATTTAGACGCATTCGTATTAGAATATTTTCCTTTTCGGAAGAGTCCCAAGAGTGGACACCGTCTCCGTCCGATCAGCTGATATCCAGCTCGATGCTCGATTTTGCACCTCGATCAATGAATACCGTCTTCTGGGTAGCGCTTCTTATCGGCCAGCGCTGATTATCGATCCGCTATCGAATTACGTTTAACGAACCGATCTACCCCCGTAACACGAGCGGAGTTAGGCGACAGCAAGTTAAGCGCAATTAGGCTCTATTAAGGGTTCTCTTGCTGATCAGCCGGCGGGCTCCCCCTCTCTTGTAACGAGGTTTTTCTCGAGTGCTAAGTAGATGTCATAATTCCGCAAATTTTCGGCAATAGTCGACCCTCTATCCACAAATCGACTGCTCGAATTCCCGATCCGCGCACGTGTCGCTCATCGCTGGTGATGGGCACTTAACCGATGATGGCAACTTTTCTGGAAAGTGGCCGCAATGCTTCTTTCGCTTTTCCCGGCGACATCGAGAAGGAGATCACTCGAGATGGGCGGAATTGAGATGCATCGCGCACCTGCTGAGAGACGTGACGAAAATTCACCGAACGAGGGAGGGAGGCTCCCCGAGGGGGGCAGTTTGTTACCCTCCACCATGGGGTTGCACTCTTTGCGGGGGCCGGCATTGTGGGCCGGCGATAAGAAAACCGGCGCCGCGACATAAAGGAAATAAATCTTAAAAGGAATTTACTAAATAAAGACGGCAAAGTGCAACAGGCCGTAAGTAGTTCACTTTTCACGGAATCCCGGGAAAAGGGACAGCGCTCGGATATTTTCAAAGGAAAAGTCTTTCCAACGGGGGAGCGAGTAAACGAAATGGGGCAAAAGGAGGGAAATCCCGTATATTCCTTCCTCCGTGTTTCCGCGTTTCAAAGCTAATTTTCCCGGAGGATGTGAAAATTACACCCCCAGGGCCATTGAAATCTGACCTAAAAAATGCCCTCGGTGATTTCGCCCGGAAGGAATTATCGGAAATTACGCGTATTCCTTTAATTATTATTAATTTCCCCGGGGGGAAGTAATATCAAACGTTTAATTGCGACCTTTAAATTGTCTAAATGTTTCATTGGGTTAGGAAATTTCCTTGAAATATATCGTTACTCACTGATAGGGTTGATATGCCTCTTTGTATACATAGTAAAGAAAAATTGACTTATCGCAAAGTACATTGCAGAGAAAAATGTCGACGCCTCCGAAGCATTCCGCGAGGCGTTTCCGAAATTTCCGCGCGGCCCGAGGACGGGCCCCGAGCCGTGTAATTGCCGGGGCCAAGTTATTCACTTAACTGCAAGGGCACGTCGAGTTATCGCGTTATTACCGCAATGTCGGGCGCGTTAACTTCGCGAGCGCCTGCGACCAACTTTAGAATCCCAGTTCGGCCCGATCGCGGTCTCTCCCGGACTAATAACGCGAGCGAGAGGGCTAAAGTTAGCCGGAACACCGACTAGGGGTGGTTGTTCCGGTGGTAGTTAACCCCGGGGGTGGAGGTTCCTCTCTTCCCGACCAGCGTTCCGAAATTGTGCCCCGAAGAACAGGAGGATCCTCGAGACAGAGTCCGAGTTAAAGTTGCGACTACACGGTTGGCCATTTGCATACCAGAGAACGATTTCCGATACGACTTCCAAAGCAGAGAACCAGAGAAATATCTCTTTCCAAGGGGTTCTTCACTTGGAAATTAGTGAACACGATTTCCACGTTTGATAATTGATTGCCATGATTTCATACGACAAATTGCATTGACGAACGTGCAATCAACAATGCAATTCGGTAACAAGCGACGTTCGGCCTTAAAATTTTGACAGTATTTCCATTATTAAGATGCACGATTTCCTGAGTGAATACCCCTTGCTTCGAGTGGCACCAAAGTATTATCTTAATTAAAAGAATAATTATTTAAATCAGACTGGAATAAAAATTGGACACAGCGTCTCTTCGGAATTGCGGCGATTCATTTGAGCTTGAGTAAAATAATTATTCTTTGAATTAAATTCGGTGAAGTTCTTTCTCCCGAGGTTGAAATCGATTTATCGCGATCCTCGACGCCGGCTTTCAATTCGCTCTTACAGGGAGGTATGTGGAGAGAATTAATATTTAATATCTCATCCCTGCGAGATACTTTCGCACGCGTGCTCCGTTCGCGAGCTCTTCTAAGTTCACCTCCTCCAGAAGTAAACTCCCCCAACAATTCCTACTCCAAGAGCATCTCTGCAAATTAGTTATTTGCGGGAATTAAGTTAGGGTGGTTGGAATCAACAGAAGTTACCGTGACGGGCATCGCGGATGCATTTACCTAGGTATTGCTGCAGGTGGCGTATCGCCCACCCCCCCCGGGAAATCGGAACTGTGGTGCAATGACTGGTTTGCAATTTTATTCGAGTTTACCAGTGCAGGACATTTCTCTCGAGAGAAGGATCGGTGGAACCCTCCGGGAAAAATCGGTCCTAAATTAAAAAAAAAAAGAATTAAATAAAGTATTATTCCCAATCACCGCTAGAGTGATTCGAGGAGCAGCGAAGGATCTCCTCAAAATTGCGATCCTGCTTAAAATCTGAATTTCAAGCATTAAATCGAATTTTCGATACGAAGAAGAGTAACACGAGTCGAGATTTTTATCTTACTTGAAAATGGATTTTAAGATGATATAAAGAACGAAGGCAAGTGTCAAAGAGGTCTCGTTTATGAAACTTTTTACCGAATTGACCGTACCAAATCGTTCCAATCTTTACAATGTGAACATGGAGGCTATAAGGAATGTCCTGACTCTGATGAAATTTCAAATTTTTCTAAATTTGTTTATAGGTATTTTAAAAATTCTTTAGGGAAAATGAAATCTCATGGGTCTCGGGACTTTCCTTATAGCGTAAATATTCACGTTATAATGTTTGAAGGGATTCGGTACCCTCAGTTCGGAGATAAGTTTCATGAACGATTGACTTATCAGATGCCACTTTCACATCCCCTTAATATTCCCAGATATTTCCATCTCCTTTATTTCCCGGCGTGAGGAAAACCTTAATTCCTATCTAGGAGGACGTTAAAAGTAGAGGTGAAATTTCGACCCGTCAGTAATTGCAACAATGACTCCCCTTGGTTGTCTTTTTCCCAATCCAGAGAGCCAAGCTCGGCACCAGCAGGACTCGAGGACCAATAACTTGCCGACCTCGATCGAGGCCGAGGAGGACGAGGAGGTCCCTAATGGAGCCGTGGAGGAGGTCCTGGCCCAGAAAGGACGAAATGCCATGCTGCCTTGCAAGCCCGACAACCTCAATGCCGGAATCGTGAGTGTCCGCCATTTTCCTCGTTAACGATTCACGAGTAACTCGTAAAAAGTGAAACAGGTGCGTCGGAAATTTCGGTAAAAAATGTCGACCGAACAAGAACGGAAAGATCGGAACGTCGAGTTCCGATTGGAGGTTCGGCTGGTAAAATCGGATATTGGCGATGATCGCGTTATCGCGAGTTTATCTCCACCTCGTTAAAAATTCCCAATGAAAGCCCCGATCGCGTAAACTGCAGGCTCTCCCCGCCATTACGAGTTTCGTTGCGCATTACTCGGGGCAGTTGCCGTCATTGTACTCGGTGTCGTTACTCGGGGAAATCAAGCTCGACGGGCTGCAGGATAGCTCGTCAGGATCCGCGTCCTTTTATTATTCGGCTGCGTGGGGCGCGTTTATGGCTTTATCGCCCCAACTAGGGCTGAAACGAGGAAGAGACCCTCGGCGCGATAACTGTTACAAATGCACGGATCGCGACGAGCAAGCGACTTCAGCGTCCCTAAAAACGTATCTCCAGGACCCCCAGGACGAGGCCCTGGATTTCATCTCGCACCGGCAGGACACTCGTTCCGCGTGGTCTTTTTTGTCCCGTGAAAATCCCACCAGGGAGAAACGTTTGCGGAATTACTTCGATCGCCGTTATCTCGATAAATGCGGAATAGGGGAGTGAAAAGATCGATAGCTGGAGGATGGAAAGACTCGTCAATAGCTAGAAGGACTCATTGATAGGATTCGTTGATTGCTGGGACTCATAAATTGCTAGAAAGGACACATCTATAGCTAAAAAAACTCGTCGATATCTAAAGGGGCTCCACGATCCTGGGCCCGGAAGAGTCCCTGCAAATCCCATATTTGTCGAGATCCGGTTTGCCGGTTTTCGAGCTCTTTCGTATTTTTCCCACGGATCCGCGACTGCCGTGTTTCCGGCAGGGAGGAATATCTTTGAATATTTTCCTGCTCCCGGGAGCGCATTAAGCCGATAGCACCACCTCGGTGTAAGTCAGATTCCCTGAAAAGCAGAAACCGGCAGGTCGATGGAAAAATGTCCGATGTCCCGCCATCGGTTCCGCACACAAAGCTGATCAGAAAACCTGGCAGAGTTTCGCGCCAAATTATTTAAGCATGCATACATTCATAGGTACGAGTACACCATACGTATGCGCGGACGCCACCGAGGTCTTTACGTCAAATATCGGCACTTCGATCGGATGGATATTTATAACTCGGTTCAGAAAATTCATGAATTCATATTTGACATTCATATCGATGAACGCTACTTACCGTAGCACCTGGAATATTTTTTTCTCTTTTTACAAAATTTCCAGGGTCGTCCATGCCGTTCCGAATGTTTTCAACGTCACGTTTTCTCCCCCTCGCCATCTCCTTGAGGATTACCTTTTCATATTTCATGTATGGCTGGCAGCTCGGAAGCGATGCTTACTCTTTACAAAGGAATTACCAAGACATTGCGAGAATCAATGTTCCCTCGAGGAATTTTATGGAGCGCCCCGAGTCGGACTCTATGGGAAATTTCGAAATTCCGGGAACGAATCTCTAGGTCTTACCGGTGTCGTACTCCGCAATATGTTACCGATATCCAGTAGAATTTATATTACTCCTCGCAGACAGTGCGAGCGCGAGCTCTCGGAATAGCCCCATAGATCAAGGGGTTTGATGGCTCGCGCTTTTCGCCCCCGGCGTCTGGGGTATCCTCGAGTAAACGCTGTGGAGTAAACCCGCGAAATTCACAGATAATTCCGCACTCCCGATTCAATTAGTGCGGAGTTCCTGGACGCGATTGCTCGGCGAATCTCGAATAAATCTCGACTAATATCCACTGATCCTCTGTAGAGCGGTCGTGGGATTCGCTCCATTTTTTTATCCAAAATAATTCCCGATATTTTCGGATTTTATGGGGCCTTCAGGGAAATTAATTCGCCATCGATCTCAGGATGGCGGCGTCGACCGCAAAGGGTTAAGAAACTCGGTAGAGTTTCGCGCCAAATATATATAGAGGTGGGAAACTTTCAAAATAATTCCCGATGATTTCGGATTTTTTGGGGGCTTTGGGGAAATTAATTCGCCATCGATTTCAGGATCCGAACTTGGTCTCACATTCGCCCAATCGATGGCTGAATGAGATAGATTTTTTCCCGACAACCTGGAAGCGTTATTTCCAGCCGGGAAAGGGGAAGATGGATCGCCGGGCTCCATAATGGCGACCCGGATGCACGATTGAAACTCTCGGAGACGAATCCTGTTATACGCTGCAGGAAGGAGGTTTGACGTTTTTCTTCCTCGATTTTTCTCCCGGAGGAAGCCGTCTCCCGGTGCTTCCGGTCTGTATAAAGGAAGCCCCGAAGTAATCTGCTTACCGGAAGGAATACCGTATATACCCCGCGCCCCTCTGCCCCTCTATCTCGTTTCTTTTCTCAACGAAAGGCGATCCTCAAACAGTGGCAACGGCGATTCCTCGAGTCCGGGAAAATACCGGAACTCGGGAAATGATCCGAGCCCTTTGAGCGCCTCCGAGGGTTAAACGGAAAAGAAGGGAAAACCGCGAATATCATTTTTCTCTCTTCCCAAAGGCGGATACTTGCTCGGAGGACGAAGGGCGTCGCTGGGAAATGAAAAGTAACGCATTCGAAAGCGCGTAATTAGCTCGTCATTCTGGGAGAATCATTTGTAGAGAACCTCCCCTTTGTGCGGAATTGTCCCCGTGGAGGAGGGCGTATAAAGGACCAAGCCGGGAAATGGAAAGTAACCTGTTTTAAGGGCTTGTAATTAGCTCGTCGTTCCGAGAGAATCGTTTGTCCGAAAGTCCCCCACCTGGTGGAGGGAGTCTGCACAGACCTCCGGGTGTGGATTTGGCGCACAAAGGGCGGAATGGAAGAGCACTTCGAGGCCTAATCATTCCGTCGGTAATTCATCTCCGGGTAATCTCTGGAACTGATTTTGCTATCCGTTTTTGACATTGGCCTGTGATTTTCCGCCTCTCTTGAACGTTCGCGACACTGCGAGTGGAAAGCTCACCTCTCACTCGCCCTTAATCTTATTTTTCATATCAAGTGTTAAATCCGACTTTGCGGTACCTCCCCCAAAAAAAATGAAATCCATCCAGGCCCATTAATAATTTCAATACCTCAGGCGAAATATCCTCCGCGACGTCAGTTAACTCGGCGTCGTTTGATTAGCAACCGTGAAGAATTCCTAAAAAGTGGGATGAATTTCACGGAAGCTGGGAGACTCCTTCAGGAAGAAGCATTCGGAGCTGCGCTATTAATCCCACCCAGAGAGTTCTTCCCAGTTTTTGGTTCCTCGCGAAGAGGACATCGAGGCCTAATAATTCATCCCCGGGTAATCTCCAGAGGAATAGGTCTTTCGGAGGTCTCCGCCCTTCGGGAGAGGTCGGTCCGTTCTTCCTCGCCATGGGGGGTCGGGGTGGAACACGCAGGAGGTCACGTAACTTCCGGGGGCAGAGGGGCCAAAAAGAGGAGCCCGGGGGCCGCGGTATAAGTTTTTCGAAATACAAGCCCCGCCGCGACCGGCCCGCGGTGGGCTCCACGCTCCTAGGGGGGCATGAATAAAAGATGAATTCATCCGCGTCTTCCTCCAGGAGCGTTAAGAGAGAAAGATGGCGACGCCGAAGGGAGAGGAGAGCTTGGCACGAGACGTCGGCACGGAGGGCCGAAATACGTGCTTCGCCGGGAGCCTCTATTGATTTCGAGAAATGGCCTAACCGCTTTCCCTCCACCCCGGCGAGGACGTCCAAAAGCCAACGCAAATCGCTTCCCATTCCGCGTCTCGATCCTGGAAGTCGATTTCGAGAGCGGCCTCGAAGCGGGAAAGCGACCTCGGGAAATCCTCGACCGCTTAATGGAGAACCCGAAATGCACCCTTATCTCTTGTATCCCCGTCTTCTCTCGCGAAGGGCGAGCAGCTGATACCAAAGAAAGGGGGAAGGAAAAAAAAAGAGGAGGCGCCGCACACATATACCGGCTCGGTCGCGGAACTCCTCCGCGTCTTCCCCAAAACCACCCTCCGTATGCGCGGGAAGAACGCGAAATTGGAAACACGTATTTCCGACCGTGAAAGAGGATGCCGCTGGGCTTTGCGATAACTGGAGCTGGTTCGAGCTTTCTGCAGATCCGCGGATAAACTCCGAGGGGGATTGATAACGCGAAGGTGCGGAACGGAGGCGATTTCCGCGCGCCGGATGGTCCTGGTCACCGTGATTCGACGGGTTCCCGGGTTTAGACCGATGGGAAACCCGCCGAGATGTTTCGTTTCAACAAAACAAATTCTTCTAAATTCTAACGCTCATTCTCATATAGACGGCTGTCGTATTACATTCGGTATTAAATGTAATGGCATACCCCGTGTATCGTTTCCGTGCAATGAGGATGAAGAAGTCGACATAAAACTCGAGAGATTCCATGAATTCATGGTTTTTGGTACTGCAATTGGTGGACAACGAAATCCAATTAACCGATTCACGTTGCGAGGATTGTGGCTAAGAATGAAGGCGGGGGTTGAAGTCTCTCCGACGCCTCGACGTCTCCTCGACGAGGCTTATTATTCCCTGAAAAATGGCCCCACTGGGGCGAGGCAAATTCCCGGATTCGATAATTCACGTTGAATTTCATCCCCGTCATAGCTGGGCCGTAAAAATCGGGGGAAAAAGGCGGCCCTTCGAGGGCGAATGGGGAAGACGTCCCCGCGTCGCGGGACAAACGACGCCCATCAGGGGGTTTTTTCAAGGGAAAGGCGCCGCGAGGTTGCGGCGAAGAATGCGCGGAAAATTGATCGCCCGCGGAAATTCTCGCACGGGTCGGGGGTGATTAATCGACATCCGCGGTTTCCGTCGAGGGTCAAGTGGGGTCGCCATGCATAACGCCACCGGGGTTAATTCTTTATTCGATCCCCGAATCTCGGGTTCCCTTACCCTCGACCATCCTTAACGTTGGTCCTTGATCGGATTAAGCACCCGCGGAGCCAATTTA